CAGAGGAACTTTTGGTTTCGAATGCTCTTCTAATTATTGATTTGCTTAGCTCATAGTATTCTCTCTAAGTTAAATTTAGCATATCATTACTGATTTTGACCTACGATTTAAATATAGTCTTGAATACCATGCCAAGTCAGTCAACATTTTAGCATCCAATCAGATCTATTCCGCAAATTTAAGGATGGGAATTAGCGACTCTAATTTAAGATATATTTGACTAGTTTAAACAAAAAATCTATTTTAGACCATATGTTTATTTGCACGGGCAAATCTTTATCGCTTTTGTGAGCGTGGCATACTGAATTCGGAAACATCCTTCCATCCCATCTCTTAGCATCTGTCCAAGGATCGGAGATATGGTTGTCAAGTTCTTTTCTAATGAGTTTTTTATTTTATCATTTCTATTAGGTTCTCCACGACTGCTACAGGCGATTGCTCAGGATAACGTTTTGCCATTTCTCCACGTCTTCCAGGTGACCACCAAAAGAGGCGAGCCACTAAGAGCTCAGGTTGTCAGCTATGTGATAGCTCAGGCTGGCATTCTCATTGCTTCTATCGACTCAATCACTCCGCTTATCACAATGTAAGCAGGCTTTGCCATCTTTGTACTATTCACTCATTATAAGTAAGTCTTGCGAGCATGCTTTCGTCTGTGTATATCTATTCTCCTGAATTCAGTTTCACATTTCCGTTCATTTTATAAAAGGTTTTTTCCTATGAAAACAGTTGCAATATTAAGGCTTACGCCATACCTTAGGTTTTACAGATGTGAGAACTGGATCTCATGAAGCTATCGTAATTGCGAGCAAATTATGTTTTCGTCAGTGATGAAAAGGGACTCTCAAGTCTGCTGCTGCATTGGCCGAGCAACGCATTTATGTATTCACATGAGAATGCAGATTTAGGATATTCAATTTATTAGTGGGTCGCAAATGATTCACGTCCTAAATGAATCTCTGACAAAAATGATATCAAACTCTTATTGACGAACCCATCAGTTAGTTATATGCCTTGCTATCAGAAGAAACATGGTCACTCTCGAATGGAATAAAACAATTTAATTAATATATTATATATGCATGTGCTCCTGTGAATATGAATACATATGCTTTCTCATAAGGGTATATTGTCACGGGCTATCTTTTTATCTTTAATTGATTTTTACATAGTAATTGAACGTGACATTAGAGTGTTTCTAAATTGTCAGCTCTTTAAATGGAGCTACATTTGCTAATCAAGACTTTTAGTCTGCTGAGAAACTACGGTGCTTTACGAGTGAATTTCAGGTAATTTATTTGGAATTTATTAGACCCGTGCATCTCCTAGTAATTATATCGAGTATTATAGCAAAGATGATTTTGTCTTATATTTATATTTATTTTCCAAAATAATGCGAGCTATTTTTTATTTGCTTATATTTGGGGCTGCTTACAATGCTTAGAAGAGGAAAACATAGAACCTTTTTGACTACCATATAAAAGGAATTTACCTAACAAAGCATATCTTTATCAACATAACATGGGCACCTAATCTTTGAGGCGTCATATAGCAATTTAGAAGACCGAGATGGCATGGTCTTAGGTTAGGTCTTAGCCTCTTTTAGTTGTAAAGTGTTGGTTTTACCTCGTCTTCACAACCTTGTGGAATGTACTTAGTTCTACACCCTCTACCATATATCTAAGGATTCCTCTAAATTAGCAAGAATGGCAGATAGTTTGTATAATAGAGCTTTTTAACAGGTTAGATACAGACATGATAAGAGGCTTGGGAATTTGGGCATATAAATCAGGACAAAGCAAATCATAATACGTCAAAAGGGAGACCATACGGAGCAAAAGATAGCTGATGAGAAAGTGGTAAACCTATTCAAAACAGCATTGGATGTTACTTCCGAGGAAATTCTCCCAAAAGATTTAAACTTTGTTTTGCCAAACA